TGCCTTTATCTCAAGAATCATGTGTACCTGGTAGGGCAGGTCAGCCATGCGCAGGTATGTCTCGATCTTCAGGCAGAAGGGCGACAGGCTTGGGACCCCAGTTTTGGGCCGGGCAAACTGATGCAGAATGATGGTGTCTTCAGAATCCAACTCCTGTTCCTTCCTACACAGACAGAAATGCACAAATGTACTGAAACAAGTGTTCATATTTAACTTCAAAATTTAAATTACTTGAATACAATTTGTATGAACAAGACTCGGCAACACGGTGGCTCAGTGGTTAGCACTGTCGCCGCATTGCAAGAAGGTCACTGGTTTGAGTCCTGGATGGGCCAGGTGGCATTTTTGTGTGGAGTTTGCATGTTCTCCCTGTGTTGCCATGGGTTTTCTCCGGTGTTTCCCCCACAGTCCAAACATATGGGCTATGGGGGAATTAAATAAACTAAATTGGCTGTAGAGTATGTGCGTGAATGTGACAGTGTAAATATGTTCCCCAGGACTAGGTTGCAGTTGGAAAGGCATCCGCTATGTAAAACATATGCTAGATAAGTTGCCGGTTCATTCCACTGTGGCGACCACTGATGCATAAAGGGGCTAACTAGACCCAGGCAAGAATATTAGTATCTAACATAGATATTTTTGCTCTTTCAACCTTTTATTAACTGGTGCTTTTACAGTGTAGTGTTGGGCTCAAAAGATGCTTTTTAGGAAAAAAAAAGGGTTGATGTAATTATATAAGACAAATTATATAATTTTAAAGGCCAAATATAGAAGCATCTACTGATAAAAAAAAAAATATAGCGATTGCCTTGCGGAGAAATCATATAATTGAACTGAATTATAAAATGAAAACAAAGAAATGAGTTCTTTATGTGTTTTCTGTTAGAATCTATGATACTCTGGTTAATTATTAGTTTATGAAAATGTTTTATTTATAGTTTATATATCATCATCATTTATGGTGATGATAAAATCTCTGCTGGAACAGAGTGAATCAGCATTGCATGTTGAAACTTTGTGGAACATGATGACGAAAGTGCTATTGTTTCATTTATATTTTTCATTTGAACACTTTAATATTACATATTTTAATACTTAAGCTTAAATCAAGATCACTGAATCCTAAAACGATAAAATATGTTAACAAAATGTTCATATATGAGCTAAATGACCAAATACAGAAGCCTTTACTTAAGCTTTTCTTTTATGTAGTTTTTTAATTACGTAAGACACATAGAAAGTTTTTGTGCGTGTGTGTGTGTGTTTGTGCATATGTTTTTAAGTTGAGTTCTATAATATTCTGGTCCTCTAATATGGGATAGATATTTTTTTATTGTTTTTTTTAACCAAGTTCATCAAAATCTAAAATAAACAATTTAGTTTCAGAACTCATCAGGAAATTTCTAAAATGGGCAAGATGACTAAATGTAATACAACTCTACTAATATGCATGTTGTTTTGTGTGTTTTTTAGTCTCTACATTTTTGTCCACTTCAACATTCCAAAACCAAGTTAATTAATAAGCTTAAAACTTGTTTTAAATGAGGTAGTTATGAGTTTTGCTGTAAAATTCTCTATTAAATAAACCAAAATTAAGATTAATTAATTAATGGTAAAAATAAGTTTATCAAATAAAACAAAATCAACACATTTGTTTCTTAAAGCACCAGAACTTTCCGAACCAGCTAGTCCAAAATCAAGCTAACTAAATGCTTGATTATATTTTTGTAGTTAGCTAATTATGGATTTTGCTGTAAATCTCTCTATTAAATAATCCCAAATTAAGATGAACATTTTAACGGGCAAAATAAGGCAATAAAATAAGGCAATAAAAATCAACAAACTGGCTTAAAAATCACCATAAAAATTCCTCAAACTTTTTAGATCAGCTAGTCCAAAACCAACTCATTTAAATGCTTCATTATGGTTTTAAATTAGCTTATTATGGATTTTGTTATAAATCTCCCGACTAAACAATTCCAAATGAAGACGAATAAATTAACGAGCAAAATGAACTTAATTAAATCCTAAAATCAATCATCAAATTGGTTTCAAAAAGCACTAGAAACATTACTCAAACTTTTCAGATTAGCTAGTCTAAAGTAAATTAAATACTTAATCTTTTTAAGTTAGGTAATTACGGATTTTACTGTGAAAATCACTATTTAAACATTTCAAATTAAGATTCAATAATTAAAGGCTAAAGTAAATCAAATAAAAAAAAAAAAAGCTTAATCAAATTGGTTTCAAAAAGCACCATAAATACTCCTAAAACCTTTCGCATCAGCTAGTCTAAAAGCAAGTCAGTTAAATGCTTAATTATAGTTTTAAATGAGCTAATTATGGATGTTGCAATAAAATTCACTATTAAATAAATCCAAATTTAAATAACTAATCAGCCAAATAAGTTAATCAAATCAAAAAGCACCAGAAATATTCCTCAAGCTTTTCGGATCAGCTTGTCTTCAGTGTTTGTGATCAGTAGGATCAGTGGTCGCTGTCCACATTGGTGGTGCTGAAATATATCATGAGCATCACCGTCTCACTTCAGTTTCATTCTTACGATCCCTTTTGAACTGAAAACAATTAATCATATGCTATTATATTTGTGTAACGCATGTCAGAATCGATAGCTTGTGAGAAAGCTCCTCAAATAGCAGCGGGTTGATCTGCCTTTCTGAAGGCCTCGTGTAACCTGAGATGTTTTGCTGAGCACAAGCTGCACTGCCTTTTCTGCAAAGGTCAGAAACGGAGCGAAAGCAAACAATTAAACCCAGTTCACATCACTATATTTACACCATGCAGGAGCCGTTAAAGGTCATTTTGTCACTAACACAATAAGACTTTCTCCTGTAGGCCGAAAACACAGAGATGCCCTTGAAACAGCACACATCAACATGTCAACATTCACTCTTTAGGCACAGTAATAAAATGCAGTCCTGCTTGAAATGCATTGTACTCATTTATCCATCATAGGAGGGTAATGAATTGACTGCACTGCTTTGTGTTGACATTGTGTTTAATTGTCCAGGATGATTATTTAGTTCATTTTACTTGAGGAAAGAGCTGTTCCTGCCCTTCACAATACATTATAAATCCTGAGGTTTAGATTCAGAAGCCAACATCTGGGATTTATAAATTGAGAATAAAAAATCCTTAAGATGTATATTAAGCCTTGACATTTAAAAAGTATTGTACCATATATGCTATTTATAATACAATTCTACAATGTATTATACAATCATAAATATAATAAAAGGAGTACACAAGCCCTGATTATATTGACACAATAAAAATACTGTACAACTGAAAAACAATGTACATATTTTACATATATTATACATTGTATAATGTGTACATATACATATGTTATGTTTGTACACTTACATAACAGTAATTAAGACAATCACACCGGAGCTGCTCTGAACACGTCTTTACTTCACTATTGCAACAACCACATATACACACACACACACCACTAGAGTGCGTCGTAACTGAACAATCAATTTGTTACTAACTCAATATACAACAACATATTTCCATAAATAGCCTATTATTAGTAGCCTACTGTTATGTTAATGTTACTGTTATTTTATGCAAAACATAATAAGCATATTAACTTTAAGTATTGCATGTAATAATTACTGTTTGCATATAATAATTAATAATAAAACAAATATAAGGCCGGATGGATGGTTATATGGTTAGAGATAGATAGATAGATAGATAGATAGATAGATAGATAGATAGATAGATAGATAGATAGATAGATAGATAGATAGATAGATAGATAGATAGATGGATGGATGGATGGAGGAATGGATGGATGGATGGTTATATGGTTAGAGATAGATGGATGGATGGAGGGATGGATGGTTATATGGTGATAGATAGATAGATAGATAGATAGATAGATAGATAGATAGATAGATAGATAGATAGATAGATAGATAGATAGATAGATAGATAGATAGAGGGATGGATGGATGGATGGTTATATGGTTAGAGATAGATGGATGGATGGATAGAGGGATGGATGGTTATATATAGATAGATAGATAGATAGATAGATAGATAGATAGATAGATAGATAGATAGATAGATAGATAGATAGATAGATAGATAGATAGATAGAGGGATGGATGGATGGATAGAGGAATGGATGGATGGTTATATGGTGATAGATAGATAGATAGATAGATAGATAGATAGATAGATAGATAGATAGATAGATAGATAGATAGATAGATAGATAGATAGATACGGACAGACAGACAGACAGACAGATAATCTCAGCATACCTTATGACAAGAAGCTCGTGTAGTAAATAGGCAGCGGCGGCGAGCAGCGCGCCCCCGGTAATGTAGAGCGTTTTCCTCCACCAGGAGTCGACCCCTAGCGCGGACATGATCCCCCCGTACTCCTGCAGCGGGTAGGCGATGATGAACCCATGCAAAGACATTTGCTCGTCGGACCTGCAGAGGCCGAAGGAGAAGCTCCTGTTTCGGCCGAGCTCAAGCGCGCACGAGCGGCTCCAGCCGAAGCCCACGCGCCAGTACATCCTCTCTCTCCTCTATCCGCCCTTCGGCCCGCTGTGGCTCCGGTAGAGGAGGCTTCATCAGTGCCGCAGGCTATTGCGCAGTGTGTCCGCGGGTCTGTGGGTGGCTGCGGCGGGCATGTCTCCTCCTGATGACCGTCGAGCCCGCGCTGTTTTCGGCATCAGTCCGCAGCCGCTCGCCGCCGCTGTTTACCGCACAGCTGAGCGCGCGACGTCACCCAGGGGCGAGGGTGCTGATGCTGCGAAGGGGGCGGGGCCTCAGAGGAGACTCGCACTGTCATTGGTCAGATACACTGCTTGTGATGAAGAGTTTGGTAACAAAAGTTTCATAACGCATGATGGAATCAAATTCCTGTAAATTAATATTATATATGAAAAGAGGACATACACTACAATATTTTACAGGTCGGTTGAATGTTTGTGAAGATGCATGATGGTTAAAACACATGCAAAGAACATGAAAACACATACAAAGAAACGAAACAGAAAGTGTTTTAAAGATTGAACTGCTTCAAAAGTGTATGCATCTCTTTATGCACAAATGTGGACCCAAATGACTCGTGAGAGTTGAGATTTAAAAAAAACATTATCCCTGAACCTAAAAACATTCACACTATAGTTTTTTTTTCAGCAGCAGCTTTATTCAATAAGGCTTCCAAGCTCCGTTATAGAAAAAAAAATTAATAACACTCCAAGCCCTCTCAATACCCATAGTTATCACGTTATGAAATATATTTACAGGCAAATAATACACACACAGCAACACAGAGAGGGACGCAGATATTTGCAGGTAATAAACACTCCTGAAACACTGCCAAACATGAGACCACAGTGAGAGACGAAGCAAAAACAAACCCCATTCAGAGCTAAACATCAACTTATCATAAAACCTTTCCTCTTAGTTATGTCTCTCTCATGACAGGAAACTGAGATGCAGAAAATAGGAAGTGCCTCAAAGAACTCAAAATATTGGCTTGTCCTCCATCAAACTAACATTTGAAGCGATAGTTCACCAAAACATAAACATAATTTCATTTAATCATCTTCAAATGGTTCCAAACCTTCATGAATTTCTTATTCTATCAAACACAAAAGAAGATATTTTGAAGAATGTTTAAAGAAACAAGCAGCCATTGACTCCCATGGTGATTTTTTCATCTATATTGCAGTCAATGGTTTTCAAAACGATTCAAAATATCCATAAATAGAAATATTTAAGTTTAACAGACTCAAAAGTGACTGACATTTGCTGTTTGTTCCAACTGCTTATTTAAATTGAGCTTAAACAACACACTTCTTGATTTAACTTACTAGTTGTTACAAATTTAAGTAAATTGAACATAAAAAAAATAAGTTGTCCAGAAATAAAACACAATAATTGTGTTGTCTCAGCTCATTTTAAATAAGTAGTTTGAACAAACAGCCATTTTTGAAAACAGAAAAAAAAGCTCAAACACCTGAAGTTGAGTAAATGATGAGCAAATGTTCATTTTTTGGTGAACGATCACTTTGTGCGCTGCAAATACGTCAAATAACAAAATGAAAGCAAAACAAAACACACAGCATAATTATAGAATAAAAAGGCCTATAGGATGAACGCATATTTACAATGCATTTTGGGAGCATTTTTGTGATCAAATCAAACTATCCATATCACTAAATCTCACAGTGGCGAACTCACATCCACACACGTCAACGGAAAAAACGTTTAAGTATCCAATCAGGAATCGATTTACACAGTACGAGGGTTCGAAATAGATCACGTCACATAGCCCTGTGGCCAATCAGTTTACAACCAGCCACTTTGTAGAGAGGACTGATCCGTTTCCCTGAGGAATACAAAACTGTGATATGGTCGACGAGAGGCACGCATACAATAATTCAACAACACACACACACACACTTTCTCCTCTTCACTCTCAGACACAGAGGAAAAAAAGTCTTTTTTGTTCCCAAAAGAATCTTCAAATCAACCTTTCAAGAAAGTCAGGACCATTAAACACATACTTTTATGCTTATGTGTGTGTGTGTGTGTCCAAAACATTCAGCACTACAGCCTTAAGCTAGACAACAAACTCTATATCAAAGCAGATTTCCTATTGGTGAGCAGTTCGCTCCCCTCCTGCTCTGATTGGTGGAAGGACGGAGGTAGAGTCTTTTTGTCTGCTCTGATTGGTGGAAACAAGTGGCATCATTTTGACTGCTCTGATTCGTGGAAGGACAAAAGGAGGTGGAGTCTGCTTTGATTGGTTGGAAGATTCCAGAGGAGAGGAAAGAGAAAATCTGTGCGTGTGTGTGTGTGCCAGGAATCAGTTTCCTCACGATCAGAAAACAATGTGCTTGTGAAAATCAGCATTCAAATGTGCCAGGATGTGCCGTTTTTGCCTCTCTGGATCGCTCTGCCTCATGTCCACCTGCAGATGGCGCTCTAGGACTGACTGTACGAGCTGTTTTGACTGCCGTTTGAGCTCTGGTCAGTCTCGCTGAAGTCAGAAGAGCAAGAAGGTGCAGGCACAAATATCAGATGTTATTACTTTTGAACTTTATTCTTTATACTTGGACTAAGATTCATTTTGGCAACTGAAATAAAGCTGAAAATAAAAATATATATATAAATAATATACCAGCAACTTGTTAACCCAAAAACACATGAAAATTACACAATGCCTTGGCAACTAACTGAAATAAAATAAGTTAAAGATAAGGTAAAGCAGTAGAATTACCGAAGGTGAAACATTAAATGCATTTTTTAATAATAAATAAACAAAATGCTATGACAAGGAGCTTTTGTGCTTCTCCAAAAACTAAAATTCAAAAAAAAGTTTTCGCTAAAAGAAAGTAAAGCTTAATGAACAGAAGATATAGCAAAATTATTAAATAAAAAATAAAACATTTTTCAAAATAGTATTTATGAAAGTATTTACATAACATCTTTCAAAACCATGGGCTAAATCAATATTAACCAAAACCACACAAACTAAAAATGAAGTAAGAAATTTGGGAATGTATAAATATAAATATATATGAGCTTTTCCATTTTTCTAAAAACAACAGTAATTCAAGAATATGAACTAATACTTTAATATCTTTACCTTACTAAAATTAAAGTTACTGAAGTGTTTATTAAGATTTTAATAACTGTAACTTTAATAAGTAAATGAATAACTTTAATAAATGCATAAAGCATAATAAATGCATAATAAAGCATGTTTCATTATTACTCTGTATGTTGAAAACCTGCAGATTATATTATGCAGTTTGCATGTCATGTTCTCACAAGCTATGAGACGATAACTGTTTTTAAGGTATACGGCGGTTTGGAAAAGTCAGGGTTTTAAAACCGTCACATTTGTCTGCAATACCATTCCAAAAGTATGAGTACACATTTTTATTTACTTTTTTTTTGTTTTTTAGGACAACAGTATTTTCAACAGAAAAATATCCTAAATATCCTAAAATGCTGTTTGAAATTGTAAAAAAAAATCTGTTTTTTAGATAAATGAAGACAGCAGAAGCCAAAAATTCGTTGGTTTACTTTTCCAAAATATTTTAAATGTTTCTCAAAATAAAATATGTTGCGTTTAAAAGGAAATTTTTGTTTTTGTTTTTACTCAGACATTTGAAAGGAATAAATTTTAGAGCAGTAATCACAATACCGTGATATTTTTATCCAAGGTTATCATACCGTCAGAATCTTATATCGGCACATGCCTAGTACTTACAGTAAGTTTCTGCTTGATAAAATATTAATAAAACAAATGGAAGTTATTAAAATCTTAATAAATACTTTAATACCTTTAACTTTTAGAATTTTGCATATAAACCCTTCATACAAGTAAAATTCAAATGTATGAAATAAAAAAAAATTTAATTTTGCAAGGATTCAGCAAATCTTCAAATAGCTGCAAAACATCATTGAATGAATGAGCCTGTTAAATGAAGTGTAACACAATTGTACTTTTCCTATTGTTACTCTTTGCAACAGGGTTACACACACACAAAAAAATACTGTAGTGTAACATGAATAACTGAGAGGTAAAGCACTGCAATCCATCTTACCTGTTAGGAGGAGGTTTGGGTTTGGGCACCTTGTTGATCACAGCGGCGATTTCCTTCCTATCGTCAAAGTTCTTCCACTGGTCATAGAGCTTCAGGATCACCCTGATGATCTCCAGGATCTGCTCCACACCAGACAATCACACACACTTACAGGAGACCAACATCCAGAAAAAACAAACATTCACTTCTTTTACACCTTAAAGAGTCTTACCTTCTCCATGTCCACAGAGAGCTCAGCAAACCACTGTCTGGCATCTTTCTGCTGAACCACACACGCCACATGCAGGCAAGCTGGAGGAGGAAGAAAACAATTGTTATGCAGTTATTCAGATATAAAACTATAGGCTAAATGAATAACTACTACTACTAAGACTACTAATACTACTACTAATATTAATAATAATAGTAGTAGTACTAATAATAATACTAATATTACAACTAATATTAGTAACAATACTACTATTAATACTACAACTACTACTACTAATAATAATAATAATAATACAGGGTAGATAGAAGAATCAGAGTTAAATTTAATAACTCTTTAGACATTTTTAAGACCCTTTCTATAAATTTTAAGATGTTATTGCAACTTCAGGTTTCAACCGATAACATTGGTGACATTTTAACTCACAGTACATTTACTGAATACTGACTGTAAGAAAGCAAAACTAAAGAGCCTTAGCTTGTGACATCGCCACAGCAATGCAATAGAATTCAGAAGAATTATTCAATGCAATAGAATTCACGAGAATTATTTACCTGACTAGCCTATGAAAGTTTCAGAAGATTAGTTAAAAAAAAAACTTTGTGGGACGTTAGCCAATTTTTAATCAGCTCTTACCGCAAACTGAGCTTAGAAATGTTGTTCTTACCCAGTGCAATCATAAATGGAGGGTAAAGCAGACACAGGTCTGTTCTGTAGGTGTCGTTTACTATTCTCCTATAAACACATGAAAAAACATTCAAATCAGACATCTGTATACATTTATCCATCTTGCTTTTTAACACGCGAGACTTGTAAATAACAGTGATTAACAACAGTGCAGTAAAATGTGGATCTAAATGGCAAAAAATGCGTGCAATGCAATAAGTTTGTCTTGTTTTTAGTCCAAATATCTAAAACTTCTTAAATCAAAAAACATCTTCCAGACCAGGAGTGTCCACACTGCCCTGGAGGGCCAGTGTCCTGGAGAGTTTAGCTCCAACCCTAATCAAACACACCTGAACAAGCTAATCAAGCTCTTACTAGGTATACTAGAAACTTCCAGGCAAGTATGTTGAAGCATTTTTGCAGTGTGCTGAATAATCATTCTATATATAGTCAGATATATATATTCTATATGCAGTATATAGTCAGATTGTAATGTAATGTGATGTATTTTTTATTTATGGCAATAAACCATAGCAACAGCAACCAAGGCTATTTTCATGGCAAGAACATTTCAATAATAAATAAACAACTTAAAACAACAAACAAATAAAAACACAAGTTAAGTAAGATATTTTTGTGTTAATACATGATAAGAATTCTAAAAATTTTCTGGTGTAACTTTGCTAAAAATGTCCTTAAGAGAGTTCATTTCATTAAAAAAGTCTTCTGGAATTATTAAAAGCAGGACAGTCCAGTGAAATGTGTGGGGAGTTGTGCAGAACAAACATTGAGTGGGGTCTTCATCTTTAAGTGAAAAGGCGTGAGTTAATCTTGTATGTCCAACACAATATCTAGTAAAAATCACTCGATCAAATAGTCTTAAAATTCTGTTTGACATTTCAGGTTGTATTTCATGTAATTTATTAATTTTCAATGCATTCCACTCCTCTTGCCACTTATTTAAAATGTAGACGTTGATAAAAGGTATAGTCAGACTGAAACGCCTCAATAATAAGAGCTTCAAAAAAATGTTCAACATCAGAAAATTTGTCTAACAATAATTTCGGTTTGTTTTTCACCAAACCTTATCATATGTCTACAGAATAATTGCAATACATGGCATTTGTTACATGGAATTATTCTTTGATATGTTTGCATTTTTATTCATATATTAACGGTATTCTTATATTTACACACCCTCAAACCTTTATAAACCTTTGTGTTTATAAAGGCTGCTGAACACAAAATAACATACTTTTTGAATGTTTGAAACAGTTGACCACTGACTTCCATAGTAGGAAAAACTCGAAGTCAATGGTTACCACATTCCAACATTTTTCAAAACATCTTCTTTTGTGTTCAAAGGAAAAAAAGAAATTCAAACAGGTTTGCAACGAGTGAAGATTGGCAGAATGTTCAGTTTTGGGTGAACTACCCCTTTAAGTGTGATTGTGATTTAACTACCATTACACAGGCATGCATGAGCATTAAGAAGTTCTCATGCAAAAAGGAATGAACAGTATAGGGCATTAAAAAAACAACAAAGAGATAGACGATTGGGCGAACAATCCCTTTAACCAGCATATAAAAGAAGTAGAGGTTTCTACTGAATCCACACACACTCCTCACCAAGCCAGCGGCAGCAGCATGTCCTCCTGCCCCATGTCCTGCACATACTGTAATAGCGGCCTGTACGGATGATACACGATCAGACAGCAGTCCTGAAACAAAACCAAACCAAACATCCATCAACAAACGCTGAAAACACAACTTCAAGACAACCTCAAGAATCCATCAATACCAACCATGAGCTCCAGCAAGTAGAATTCACACTCCAGGATCTAGCGAGATAGAGAAAGGCATGAGTTCACTGTGAAATCATGGCGTTATCATGTTATGCGCACTAATTGGCATTTTCCCCTCTTTACTAAATGGAGACCGCAATGTTTCCCTTACACCACCTGACTAGTGCTGTGCTGAATAAACAACACTGCTAGTAATCATATGGCACTTATCACCAACCCGAGACATGAACTGCCAAAACCAGAAGTCATCTATCAGGATAATGAGACTTTCCTACGAAGGTGTTGCGAGTGTGAGGAATTTCACTCCTGAACGGGTGTCAGAAACACTGCATCATCAGCACACACACACTCAAACTCTCGACTAGTGTTTCCATCATATGAATCAGACAAGTTACAAGAAATTATTATCTGGATGTATAGTGATGCTGTCAGATTTCCAAAATCTCCTAGTGAAGTCATGCTCTCGGGAAAGACTCTCACATGACGGTCTCATCATGTTTTCTGATGTAGTGAAACAAAGACGTTTGACTCACGTGGTTCATTCTGAAGGGAAACTCCTTTGGGAAGGCATAAGAGAACCTTGTTTTCACTATTAAAAAAAGAAAAGTCTGAGAAATACATATATATTACAAAAGTGACTATTGAGGAAGACATTAAACTGTTTTTTTAGTATAATCGGGATATGCTTATATTTTGTTTTCATTTTAGTTTTTTCATGATTACATTTTTAAACACGTCTAAATAGTGTTTTGTTAGTTGTTTTTATATATCAAGTTAAACTAAATTAAATTTAGTAATAGCAACAGTTCCTTGGCTATTAGATCAAATAAATTACATTATAATATAGATTTTCTTTTATTTGAATATATTGTGCAACTTCATATAATGTATATATAAAAAGTGTTTGTATATGTATATACATCTGAAGTCAGAATTATTAGCCCCCCTTTGATTATTATTATTTTTAAAAAATATTTCCCAAACGATGTTTAACAGAGCAAGAAAATTTTTACACCATGTTTGATAATATTTTTTTCTTCTGGAGAAAGTCTTATTTGTTTTATTTCGGGGAGAATAAAAGCAGTTTTTGATTTTTTTAAACACCATTTTAAGGACTAAATTATTAGCCCCTTTAAGCTATATTTTTTTGATTGTCTACAGAACAAACCATCATCATACAATAACTTGCCTAATTACCCTAACCTGCCTAGTAAACCTAGTTAAGCCTTTAAATGTCACTTAAAGCTGTACAGAGGTGTCTTAGAATAGAGTTAATAAAACTATTATGATTAGAAATGTGTTGAAAAATTTGTTAAACAGAAAATGGGGGAAAAACTAAACAGGGGGGGGGGGGGGGGGGGCTAATAATTCTGACTTCAACTGTATAAAGAGTTCAGACGCAAAAACTTCAGTGACGTCTGAAATTTTCCTCTAAAAGTTGTGTTTTTCTCAGCCTCCAATATTTATGATCAGTTACTTCACTTTAAAGGCAATGCAAATAACCTATTATTTGCCATAAGAGTAAAATTACTGAAGTGACACACAAAAGCCTGAGAAAAATGCTTTAATTAACTTTTAATTTTTTGTTTAAATTTTAGATGAAAATCTCAAATGGGACTTTTCTCTCTTTATATACAAAAAAATAACTTATTATAAAATATACAAGTACAATTTAAACTATATATATATATATATATATATATATATATATATATATATATATATATATATATATATATATATATATATATATATATATATATATATATTTTACATATATTTTATTAACATAAAAAAATTATGATTGTAAAATATAACCCACTTACACACAGACGTTGCTGCTGAAATAAGCCGAGTGTTTGAAACGACACCAAATTCCTGTTGACAGCAGAATTTTAGTGTTAAAATGCAGTTTCAAACATCTTTCAGCAGAAATCTGAATAAATATTGTGTTTAAAGTGCTCAGCATAAGTGAGTACACCCCTCACAAATCTCTCTTTAAAGTTAATATTTTCTATAGGATGATTTACAATATTATATTTGTGCATATACATTAGTTTAGTCAGTACTGAAGTCAAATTCTGGAGCTAAAATAAAAAAAAACAAACAAAAAAAACGTATGATGACGGTCTAAAAATTAGTAGGTCAAATGTATATATTAAGACAAATATTAAATAAAATTGTAAAAAAAGAGAATAAAAATCAAGATAAACAAAAAAAAATGTAACATATAGTTGACATTTCAGTTTGTCATTTTTTTTTTGCAATGTTTTGCATGAATGTACATACATTATCTTTCTATTTCTAAAGATGATTGGTGACAAAAAAAATATTTTAATAAATAAATCCGTAATAAATCTGTTTTGTTCAAATACGGCAAAATCTATTACCTATGTTGACTGAGAAATGGTAAAAAAATATTTATTTTCAAAAAATGTTTTACTCATTTATGCTGAGCACTTTATATTATATACAGACAGAGTATTTACCTCTACTTTAGAGGCCAGAAACACACATGTTGGGGCCATTAACACAGGGTCAATGCTCTTCAGAGAGTACCTGAAAAAAGAGCAGAGAGTTTTTCCTTTTATTTCATGAAATAAAGAGTACTTAAATGAAAGCCACAGAACAAAAATAGAGCCCCACATTACATGAAAAACACAAGAGCCTAGATGAATCTAGAAGAGGAATCTTTAGAAGAAAACAAGCTTTTAATGACGGCACTGCACTGCTCACCTGGCATAGAAACGCTTAAAGTAGACAGTTGCCGTGGCGATGACCTGCTGTCTGAGTTTCAAGTGTTCGCCCAAGGCTTGAATCACTGTCACAAGAGGACAAATTAAACATTTTAAAGTGTTTAAGCTGTTTAAACTTTTAGGCTTTAAGTTAGCTTTGCATTTAAATCCCAAAACCAAATACAAATGAATACAAAACAGAAAAAAATATATACATTTCAATTAACGCTCCACAGTATATGTGGTAACCTAACACTTGGTCATATGGTCAAAAAAATTAAGGCTCTAAGCATCAAAACATAAAGTGCCATTATTTTTCATACATTTACAGATAACTCCCCCTAAAATGTCTAACATCAAATAAATCTTGAAAGATCAATCATCTGATGATATATTAACAGATAACAGTGTAGCACAAAAGTATTGTTATTTAAATATGTTAAAATGACAAAAAAGATTTACCATTTGTCAACAAAACTTATTTAAAATACAACAAAATTGAACAAGATCACCTATTGTTTGCATATTTTTAAATTATTACTACATTTAAATGATATAAATACCTTTGCAAACATGAAAAATATATATTTATCTATTACACCAAAGTATGAGGAAACAATATTTTCACAAAAGCTATTTAAAGCATGAAAGTAGACACTTTACTCATAGTTAATATGCTTACTATGCATAATAAAAACTCATGTTAATAAAAGTTGTTGCACATTGTCTCTTAAACCCATCTATCATTAATTGATCGCTCATCAGATGAGAGACTTTTATTGATTCCTAAATTTAGATTGAAATCTCTGCAGCTGCTGCTACACTTTGGAATGATTTCCCCGTCTTCCATTAGATTAGCTGCAAATCTGTTTCGTTTTTAATCCAAGTATAAAAACTATCTTGTTTGACAAAGCACTGAACACATGAATAAGATTTAGTTCATATTTTACTGGCGTTTAACCACGTAAAAGCTTTTAATTAGCCTTTTTATTTACTTGTTTTTGACTTATTCTTGCTGTTTGTGGATTTTAGTTAATGTTAAGCACATCCGTCAACATGGGTTGCTTTTAATTATGCTATATAAATGAACTGCCATTGTCATATAACATGAGTAAATACTATATTGTTGAATATTTTGGTCTTGCTTTGCACTTAGTCTAGAAATACAGTTTCAGATTCAGAAAAGAGAAAACAAAACAACTAAATAAGCAATTTCTCATCAAACCATTGGCAAAAAATATCTGCAGTTTCCAGTACTCCTCTTCTGTGAGGAACTTGAGATCTTTCTGTCTCTCCTTCATCAGATCCTGCTTGTCCAGAACCCACTGCAGACTGAAAAGAACAAAGACACTTTCAATTCACAAATCATTAAAGTGTAACACACATATATTAATATTTACGTGTAATAAATACACTCTACAAGTCAAACAACAAATGTATCAGTCACTTCATATCTGGATATTAACATCAAAACATTACTTTAATTGAGTTTATAAATGTAAATTTAATGTGTGAAAATGAATTCACGTAGTAAATAACCGATATTTATGCAAATGATTCACAAATTAATTTCTCTGTGGTTTCTTCACTAGCCAGACAGCTAAAGCTAATAAGTCAACGATTTAAACTATTAGAATTATAAAAGTCAAATAATCTAACCTCCGTATTTGAGTCTTGGTTATGACCAAAATGTGATACTTTGTTCGCATTAATAATTCAAATATGACAATTGTAATGTTTTTTATATCTCTTATGGTCCCGTAACCACAGCAAAACCCCAAAAATCCTTTATTGTGCGTGATTTATGTAGTAAATACGAATATACTTACTAATGTGAACTCTGCCAGAAGTTCCCTGCCATCTTGAGGTAGAAAATAAACCTTAATGTGCTGTTAAATTGTGTTTAAAATAATCGATGCTCCGTTCAGATCAGATGAGGAGCGCGACAGAAAAAACACTCCGTGGAACTTCAATGTGAAGATTAAAACGGTCCGGGAGGAAACAAACAAACGCATCAGTTCCGGAAGAGTTTTTGCGGACTTTACTGGCATCAACTTTATAATTGTCTAATCGAAATTATTTTAATATAATATAATATAATATAATATAATATAATATAATATAATATAATATAATATAATATAATATAATATAATATAATATAATATAATATAATTTAATTATAATTAAATATAATATAGTATAATATAATATAATGTAATATAATATAATAGAATAGAATATAGTATAATATAATATAATATAATATAATATAATATAATTAAATATAATATACAATATTATAATTTAATTATAATTAAATATAATAATAAATTGTATAATACAAAAATTTTTATTTATAATTAAATATAATATAGTATAATATAATATATAATATAATATAATATAATATAATATAATATAATATAATATAATATAATATAATATAATATAATATAATGCAATCTATTATAATATGATATTCTTTTTTATTAATATATATTCTCATGTTTTTTGTCTTTGACAGCCATAAACAAACTTTACATTGTCATTTATTTATTACATTATCATTTGTCATTTTACCCAATATACAAGGCTACAGTGACCCTAAACCGTTAATTTATGATTAATAATTAGCATGCACCTCCTCGATGAAGTCAACACCAGGCTACTGTCAATCTCCAAAAGGTTTTCGACACTTTTAGTGCAGAGAATGTGATTAATAAAGATCTCAGGCATCAGGAAAACTCGCTCCTCTATTTTTACTGCGGTAAAACTCTTCGCGGTGACCCGTCAGATTGTTCAGCGGCGGGTTAAGTTCATGTCAGCCCGAGGTTCGAGATTCCTCTGCGGGACAGCAGGTATAAAACTACCGCATGAATGAGTGTGAGGATACAATCACACGCTTCTGTTTCAGGACCACCGGTATCAACATGAGCTACAGCCCGGAGAGGATGTCTTCTTACCGCAGGCACTTTGAGGGAGGCCTGGCCGCCTCGTCCACCCTCCAGGTCCGGGTCTCCAGCCCTTCTCCAACTCGCGGGGCGACTAGACACCGGTCCGCCAGCTATTCCCGCAGCACCGGCCGCAGAGCGCTGTCCGGTACACGCAAATCACGCATGACCAGGTAAAGAGACATCTAATGTAATATATTTAATGTTCTCTAATAAACGTGCTCATACTCAACAATCAAATTCGTATGTAGCCTAAATAAATAATTAAAAATTTGACTAAGTTTTAATTTTAGGAAAAAAACTTTACCATAGTATTTCACTGTGTTATTTGTAGCCTAACAAATGTAATGTAAAATTAATGTTCTATACTGTAAGTGCTCATACCGGACAATCAAATAATGATGTAGCCTAAAAATATAATTAAATATTTTACTGTGTTTATAAGAAAAATATTATAATTTTACTGTGTTATTATCAGTAGCCTATAACGGATTTAATGTAAAAATTATGTAAATCAATAATTAAATATTTTAACTGTAGGCTATATATTTTTAGGAAATAATAGGCTATACTTTTATTAGCAGCCTGACACCTTTAATGTAAAGGATAATGCAGAATAAATAAAGAAAATAATATATTATTACTGTGTTATTAGTAGCCTCACACCTTTAATGTAAAGGATAATGCAGAATAAATAGGGAAAATAATATATTATTTCTGTGTTATTAGTAGCCTAACACCTTTAATGTAAAGGATAATGCAGAATAAATAAAGAAAATAATATATTATTACTGTGTTATTAGTAGCCTAACACCTTTAAGGTAAAGAATAATTTATAATAAATAAGGATAATAATATAATTTTACTGTGTTATTAGTAGTCTAATTTGAACAAACTGAATGTAAAAATAATGTCACTTTAAGAGATATACATTACTCTACATGACTGAGCAGGCTACAGCTACAATAATATTTTAGTCAAAAGATAATACAGCTACATGACATGCTAAATACTGCAAACATTTCAACACATTTTATATAGTTTTGGTTTCTCTTGATTTGTCCTCTTTTTAAATTTTTTTTTTCTAAACATACAAAATTGTGCTATCATTTTAATGTGAAGAATAATGAATAATGCTACCTAATATAGGCTACCATACTAGACAATCATTACTATGGTTAAATAAAATTATTATGTAGGCTAATCTAATATTTTTTACTGTATTTTTTAAGGAAAATAATATAATTTAATAATAAGACAATAATGAAATATTATTTAATATAATATAATATTACTTCATTATTATCAATAGCAATGTTTACTCAGTTATTACTGCGTTCTTACTACTAGTCTAATTTCTTTAACTACAGTCTGTATTTCATATTGTTTCGTGAAACATATTTTTTAAATATTACAATTGACTGTAATAACATCTCTTTGCATGTCTGATTCGCTCCACAGCAGCGTGAGTATGGGGACGCTGTGTCTCGGGATGGGTTTTGGTGGTGCTGGAGGTGCAGTGGATCTGGACGCTGCGGCCGCTGAGAATCAGGCTTTCCTCAGCACACGCACCAGCGAGAGGAAGGAGATGATAGCCCTCAATGACCGGCTGGCTGTTTACATCGAGAAGGTATAAAAAACGTCATGCCTTTTACTGTTTTGGCTCTCTCTTTGTGGTATCTATTTTGAAGACCGGTGTTTTGTTGGTCCAGGTACGTTCTCTGGAGCAGAGTAACAAGCTGCTGGAGACTGAGATTGATGCCATTAAAGGCCACCATGTGAAGCCGTCCGGCCTGCGTCTGCTTTATGAGGAACAACTGAGGGAGATGAAGAAGATTGCAGACCAGATGAAAATCCAACGGGTGAGACATGATGAACCACAGAGCCACTAATGCACACACTATTCACCAATTTGACCTACTCGCTCATAGTTTTCCCCCATAATTTTATTTTCACAAAAGTTATGTGCATCTAATTATGTGCATCTAATTAAATGTAATTATGTTAAATTAAATGTCTATTTAATCTTTATTTTTCATGATTTTATTATGATTAAATCCAAAAAATATGGACTTTGAAATGAAATAACTGTGTTTTGGCAAATGGCTGAAATGCAATAATAATAAAAACAGAACCCCGGTAAAGTCACTAATTGACTGACACTGATTGGCCTATTAAATGTGGCCATATTTAATGTATGTATAATGTATTACAGGACCTGGCAGTAGCAGCAAAGGATGCTATGGCAGGTCAGCTGGAAATGCTGAAGGTGAAATACGAGGAGGCGTTGGAGGCCAGGAAGAAGGCAGAGCTCGAGATTGAAGCCTTCAGACCGGTAAAGTCCAATGTAATAACAAAAACACAGCTGTTTTTACATAACAATGGTGTCTAAACTCCCTCTGTCCACTAGGATGTGGATGCAGCCACCTCTGCCCGAATTGCCTTGGAAAAACGACTGGAAAATCTGGAAGTGGAGCTCGAGTTCTTGCAGAGGATTCACAAAAAGGTGCACAACACGCAATTTACTCACAGCCACGCTGTTTGCTACTCAGCACAAGTTGATTGGTCAGATTCTGCAACCAATGAAAATGCTTGTTTAACAATTAAACATTATGGCTCAGTGTTCACTGTAAAATAAGCCAATTTGAAGCCCTCCACATCCTCCAGCATCACCTGTCTAAACCTCCAATGGTATGCATGTGTGCTACTTTATAGTCAAAACCCCTTCCCCTGAGGGTGCTTTCACACCTGTAGTACCTTTGGTTCAAATCAAGGGTAAACATTATACATTGTAGCATTTTCAGCCATTTTGTTTCTGTTTCACACCAGACTGCTCCGAACCAGTTTAAATACACCAAAATATAACAGCATCCACATCAGTCAATGGCTGGACGCATTTTCTAAACTGCATTTTGCTAAACTTCCTAAATCCTCCAACTGCACCTGTCTAACTGTGGTGATGGAGGATATATGTACACCTATTCATAATCAAAATAACTTCCTCTTCAGTCATATATCTTCCCTGATTACATGTTTAGTGTGAGGGCGGGATCAATCTGACAATCAAATAAAATCGACCAATAGCAAACAACAACCATACGATTTATTCACAATAGACGAAATCAAGCCCCTCCTTTTTCAACCTTTGTTTGAGGAGCTGTTTTTCCCACAACAGAAAACAATCTCAGCTTGAATTTTTATTATTGTTTTTTTTTTTTTCTGTCAGGAAATCGAGGAGCTGATGGCTCAAATTTATGGATCTGTGGCTAAAGTAGATGTGGCCTTCTCTTTGCCCGATCTGGCGTCTGCCCTCAAACAGATCCAGGCTCAGTATGACAGTATCGCTGCGCAAAACCTCCAGGTAAAAACAAATACAGTTGAAGTCAGAATTATCAGCCCCCTTCAAATTTTTTTCTTCATTTTTAAATATTTTCCAAATGATGTTTAACAGAGCAAGGAAATTTTCACAGTATGTCTGATAATATTTTTTTCTTCTGGAGAAAGTCTTATTTGTTTTATTTCAGCTAGAATAAAATCAGTTTTTAATTTTTTAAACACAACTTTTGGGACAAAATTCTTAGCCCCTTTAAGCTATATTTTTTCTCGATAATCAATAGAACAAACCACTGTTATACAATAACTTGCCTAATTACCCTAACCTGTCAAGGTAACCTAATTAACCCAGTTAAGCCTTTAAATGTCACTTTAAGCTGTGTAGAAGTGTCTTGAAAAATATCTATTAAAATATTATTTACAGTCATCATGGCAAAGATAAAATAAATCAGTTATTAGAGATGAGTTATTAAAACTATTATGTTTAGAAATGTGTTGGAAAAAATTTGCTCTCCGTTAAACAGAAATTGGGAAAAAAAATAAACAAGCGGTCTAAAAATTCAGGGGGGCTAATAAATCTGACTTCTACTGTACTATGAAATGCTCAATCTGTCATTTGTGTATGATGAGATGATTCATCTGAAGGGGCTCATCCTCTTAATAATAATACATTTGGAAATAAAATGTAAACAATGCCACTTTTCATAGCACTGAACCTGGATCTTTTTGTGTTTCCTTGCTGGCGTGTGTCTAGGATATGGACGCCTGGTACAAAGGAAAGTTTCAAGATCTAAACAACGTATCGTCTCGGCACATGGAAACAGCGAGAAGCGCCAGAGAGGAAATCATGGGATACAAGAAGGAGGTGAGGGAAAGCGTGGGTCACTATTAACACCAAATGATGCAGAATTATAACTGAATCCACACTCGTTTACAGATGCAGAACAAACAGAGGGAACTGGATGCCCTTAAAAACAGGAATGAGGCACTGCTGCTGATGATCAAGGAGGCGCAGGAGAATTACAGGAAAGAGGAGGAGGAGCTACATGTAAGGACACGCCCCGATACTAAATACTATTATTAAATTCAACTCAAGTTTATTAGTATAGCGCTTTTCATAATAAGTATTGTCAAAGCAGCTTTAATAAAGGTGTACATTGTTGCATTACAATCCAAATCAGAGGTTGTTAGCTACCATAACTTTATTAGTTCCTAATAACCGTAACTAATTAACAAGTAACCAATAGCTTTTAACAGTTAAAGTGATTATATTCAAGCATACTAAAAACATGTTTGTTTTTATCATGTGTAGACGCGTATAGAGACTCTTAAAGAGGAACTGAGGTCTATCAAGGGGAAGATCGCGCTGCTGCTGAGAGAATATCAGGATCTGCTCAATGTTAAGATGTCACTGGAGATTGAAATCACCACATACAGGTACTGCCATTGTATCATATTATCTTGAGCAAGATATTCATTTTTGTTTAATTGACAAGACTGTAAACATCCCGAATCAATAGGGGTGTAATGGTCATTTAATGAAATTACTTAAAAGGCAGAATTTAAATGGGTTGAGGCAAGCAAAGTCAAAATATTATACATTTTATTATTATTTTATAATACATTGGCAAGGCAAGGCAAGTTGATTTATATAGCACATTTCATGCACAGTGGCAATTCAAAGTGCTTTACATAAACAGGAATAAAAAAAGACAAGTTTAGGAACATAAAATGCAGACAATAAAATTATTAAAAACAGATGAAAACAAATTAAAATGAGTTAAAATAGGTTATAAAGGAATGAAAAAGAAAACGAAAAACATAATAGTGCAATCTGTCGGATGTAGCAGTGCTCATACAGTAAAGGCACAGCTAAACAGATGTGTTTTCAGTCTCGATTTGAATATGCCTAATGTTGGAGCATATCTGATCATTTCTGGAAGCTGATTCCAGCAGTGAGGAGCATAGTGGCTGAAGGTGGATTCACCCTGCTTTGACTGGACTCTTGGAATTTCTAGTTTATATGATCCTAAAGATCTGAGTGATCTGTTAGGTTTATATTCAGTGAGCATATCTGTAATGTATTGAGGTCCTAGGCCATTTAGTGATTTATAGACAAGTAATAATACTTTAAAATCTATTCTGAATGTAACTGGGAGCCAGTGTAGAGACCTGAGGACAGGTGTGATGTGCTCTGATTTTCTGCTTCTGGTCAGAATCCTGGCCGCAGCGTATATTACATATTATGTTTTTTTTCCATATTTTCACCCATACAGTAATTTAATTTAGTTTTCAAATGTAAACAAATGTTATTGTTGCCTCATATTCAATTACTAATTGAATCACATCAATAGCTGCCTATATTTATATATAGGCTTGGTTAATTAGGCAAGTTAGGGTAATTTGATAAATCATTGTTTAACAGTGGTTTGTTCTGTAGACAATGGAAAAAAATATAGCTTAATGGGGCTAATAATTTTGACCTCTAAATGCTTTTAAAAATATATAAAAACTGCTTTTATTCAATCCAAAATAAAACAAATAAGATTTTCTCCAGAAGAAAAAATGTTATAGGAAATACTGTGAAAAATTCCCTGCTCTGTTACACATCATTTAGAAAATATTTGAAAAAGAAAAGAAAATTACATAGGAGGGCGAATAATTGTGACTTCAACTAATATACAGTTGAAGTCAGAATTATTAGCCCCCTTTAAATTTTCTTCTTCTTTTTTAAATATTTTTTAAATGATGTTTAACAGAGCAGGGAATTTTCACAGTATGTCTGATAATATTTTTTCTTCTGGAGAAAATCTTATTTGTTTTATTTCGGCTTGAATAAAAGCAGTTTTTAATTTTTTTAACACAATTTTAGGGACAAAATTATTATTAGCCTTTTTAAGCTATATTTTTTCTAGATAGTCTACAGAACAAACCATCGTTATACAATAACTTGCCTAATTACCCTAACCTGCCAAAGTAACCTAATTAACCCAGTTAAGCCTTTAAATGTCACTTTAAGCTGTATAGAGGTGTCTTGAAAAATATCTATTAAAATATTATTTACAGTCATCATGGCAAAGATAAAATAAATCAGTTATTAGGGATGACTTATTAAAACTGTTATGTTTAGGAATGTGTTGAAAAAAATTTGCTCTCCGTTAAACAGAAATTGGGGAAAAAATAAACAAGCGGTCAAAAAATTCAGGGGGGCTAATAAATCTGACTTCAACTGTATACTTCTTATATACTGTCCACTTCCCATATTGTTTTCCTTGTGTTTTTGCAGGAAGCTGATAGAGGGAGAAGACAGTCGCTTGTCCAGCATGGTGGGTGGTCTATCACTCATGGGTGGCAGTGTGAGTTCAGGACTGGTCAGCAGTGTTTCAGCGTACAGTTCAGCAGCAGCAGCAGCAGCAGCAGTGAGTTCGGCCGCCTCAGAGAAGATGATCTCCAGTAACTCAACGCTCAACCACAACCATCACGAGTCTGTGGAGGAGTTCACTCATGAGCAGGCTGTGGAGATGACCGAGAGGAAGACCGTCCTCATTAGGTAGAAGTAACCTGCTCTACCAGGTCGCCTGGTGGCTTAGTTGTTAGCCTCACAGCAAGAAGGTCGCTGGTTCGAGTCCCGGCTGGGCCAGTTGGTCTTTCTGTGTAAAGTTTGCATGTTCTCCCTGTGTTCATCTGGCTTTCTTCTGAGTGCTCCGGTTTCCCCCACAGTCCAAACACATGCGGTATAGGTGAATTGAATAAACTAAATTGGCCGTAGTGAATGAGTGTGTATGGGTGTTTCCCAGTAATTGGGTTGCAGCTGGAATATACATGAATATAACCTGCAGTTAGTGTATAGGTGATGTCTTTGTGTAGATGACCATTTTAAGTGAAGTTTTTCAAACTAATTTCAAGAGGAGCACGTGATATAATTGACTGCAGCTGGGCACCTATCTACACTCATTAGTTAGCCAATCAGATCTATCCTAACTCACTATAAGTAGCCTAGCTAGATATTACTCCCTTATCTTCGTTTTCCGAAGAAACCCCCCATCCACCCCCTTTCTCCTCCTTTCCTCCTTTACAAAAAGGGGAGCTCTCGAGAACCACCTGATCTCGTACTCCCCTCACATGCTCTATGGACCTGGCGGGAGCTCAGGGTTCTCTCCTGGGACAGCATGCCAAACCTGCTTACAGTTGTCAAGCAATATCTAAGTGTGAACTCTTGAAAAGCCCATTAAATCAATCAATGTTGCTCTTCCAGCTAATTCCCATCTCTGTTTTGTTGCAGAACAGTTAAGACAGATGAAGACACGATTCAAAAGGACACAGAAGAACGTACCATCACCATTTCTGGAGCAGCAGACGAGGACGAGTGATGTAGAGCAGCCCTGTTCCTGAAAGCACAACAGTACATATTTGGGATGTCTCCCTTATCTCACCCATTCATTTGAAGTTTTGGATCTCTTCTAATGATCTGATGAGTTGATTCAGGTGTGTTTGATCAGGGAGAGGTTAAAAATGTGTACTGCTGGTGTGCCATCAGGAACAGGGTTGGGATACACTGCTTTAACCGGAGGACCACCAGCTCTGCACATTTTCCATTTGTCTTTAACCAAACACACCTGAATTTGATCATCAGCTCATTAGCAGAGACCGAACTAACTGTAATTGGTGTGACAAAGGAGACATCTAAAACATGCAGTGTTGGTGGTCCTCCAGGAGCGTGGTTGAGAAACACCTGGAATTAACCATATTATATTATTTTGCAAGATACAAAATCACTAAAATTTCTCATCGTTTACTGTCTGCCTTAGGCTTTGACGAAAGTAGAGGGTGCCCAAACTTGGTTCTGGAGGGCCGCTGTCCTGCATATTTTAGTTCCAACCCCAATTAAACACAAATGAAGCTGCTAATCAGGTATGCTAGAAACGTCCAGGCAGGTGTGTTGAAGGAAGTTGGAGCTAAACTATGCAGGACACCGGCCCTCCAGGACTGAGTTTGGACACTGTTGGACTAAACCTTTATAACAAGTGTGTATTCAAGCTTTTAACCTTGTGTCATTGCAGTGTTCAAGAGGAATAAAGACTCATCGCACAGCAGTTGTTTTCCGATGATTTGTCAACTAATTTACAGCCATTTTTACAATAAACATCAGACTGAGAAACAACAAAATCAAAAAATATTTATTTTATAAAACTCCATTAGCAAGTTTAATCAGAGAAACATCAGTATATAAATCACATGGTTTTCTGAGGAATCCTGTATGTTTTACATTAGGTCTTAGTCTTCTAACTTCATCTATTAAAATAAGGCTTTTATTGAGAAGCTGCCTCGTGTTGATTGCACATTCACTACGGTTTAAATATCAGTGAGACTTTATTCTTTTTAGAGAAAGTATTTTAATAGAAATTAATGTTTTGTTTTTAGCACGGAGGTATTAAAATTGACCAAAAGTGGTGGAAACAAAGAAAACAACAAAGACATATTGATAATTATGTGTCAAATGTTATATATTGATACATCGAAACACCTTTGCCAAATAAACGTTTGTCAAATAAACAATTAAACTTTCAGATAAGTAAATAATCCTGATTTTTTAAAAAATCATAATAAAAAAATCATGATTGTTTTCATGAAGTGATTTCAGCACTGATAATAAAACAACTTTTGATATTATTTGAGCAGTCTTGAGCAGCTGATCAGGATATTTAAAAGATTTATGAGGACACTGATGACTAGAGTAATGATTACAGCTATTCTAATGTATAATAAAAGATCCCATAATTCCAGTTTTTGCTTAGTAGAACTTATATTTTTGGTCATATAAATATCACCATGATTAGATTTCTTCCCAAAACCGTTACATTCACATGAACATTTCTTATTTCTTCTTCAATTATTAAGACTGTAAATAATAATTATAAATCTATTGCATACAAAAGTTCACATAGATCATGTTTAGACATTTCCAAATAATTAAACACTCCCAATAATAAACATTGTCCATTCGTACAGTACAAAGAGTAAATGATAAACATTTACCCCTTCCCAAAACATCCCAAAAATTAGTCTGTGCCACACAAACTAGTTTAATGTACATTCTCTGTACTTGACATGATATATGACGCTGCCAGGACGTTTCAATTGATGAATTCTGAAGTAATGTATGCATGTTTGATTAATGTAAAGGTTTAGGCTCATCTCCGACTCCTCCAGCAAGACGATGAACAGCCAAGCTGACCTCATGAGCCAGACGATCAGCACCTTCCTGCAGAAATAAACAAGAAACATTGCACTCACGATCAAATACATTGACACACTCAAGAGAAAAAGGAACATAGTTATTAAGTAATGATAAAGGTTTTCAAACCTGTGTGTCGGCCTCGGCGTAGACTCGGACCACATCCTCAGTTCCTGATGGTCTAACGAAGGACCGAGCGTTTTTGTATTTCTTCACTAGCGAGTCGATGGCGTCCTGCAGACCCTCTGGAGTCACGGCCCTTCTCTCTGCATCTGTTGTATTAATGACACGCCGGTCCGACACCTACAAAGTATAGCAGTTAAAGAGATTATTCATTCATTCATTTTCTATTTGGCTTAGTCCCATTATTAATCAGGTGTCGCCACGGCTGAATGAACCATTTACTACCCACTGTGCAGCCCTTAAAGAGATAAGCAGGAGTTTAAACTGACAATACTTTAAAAGCCATGCAGGTGTTTTGTTTGTTGCAGGAGAAACAGGCTGTAAAAGCACAAGCACCGCCCTCTTCTGAAAAGGGGTGGGATCAGCATCTCATTTGCATTTAAAGGAACCCACATGAAAACACATATGAATGTGTGAGGAAACCTCACAAACACACACCGTGACTTTAAGCTGGCGGTTGGGCAGATCAGTGTAAATCTCATCCCAGTCCTGCACAGACATCCCTCTGATGGCTAAAACTGCTTCGATCACTAGCATATCTGAGATGGCATCTCCCACCGTCTGTAGGACAGAGAGAAAGGGAGATAAAGTATGTAAAATGTCAGTAATTAAGAGCTTCTGTAACAGCGTTTGTGTTTGTATATATACCTGGTTGATCAGATTGACGGTGTTCTCCAGGAGTTTTGCAGCATGTTTTCTCTCATCGTTTACGTTGGAGTCTTTCACCAGCTCCACAATCTGTTTCTGTGCTGCTTTGCTGAACAAAACCTGCAACATAGCAAACAATTAAAAATCCTACAAACTTGTTTGACTGTGAACTATGAACTGCTCAATTGTTTATAACATGATGTTATAAGTATTTAACATCATGCATATTCAAACTAAATATTTTAGTTTAATTTAAAACCTAAAATTTTAACTTGAGTACATCACTTTATATTTAATTAAATGTTAAAAACCCAAACTTTAAAACGTAAAATGTATTAAAAACTCAATATTCTGTACTTTAAAATCAAAATGTAAAATAACAAAGTTTTAAATGTAATTTAAGTTTTAAGAATGAAGTTGATTAAAATGTAGAATTCAAAATATTAAATTCAAAGTCTACAATTTAAAACCTGTGTTTTGAATAATGCACAGTGTATACTCCATCAGCTGTTTAGTTTCTGTTGGCTTAATGTTTTTGTTTGTTTGGCACCATCTTGTGGCTCAATAATGTGCAAGTTAGTGTATACTCCATCAGCTGTTTTTGTTTCTGTCGACTTAATGTTTTTGACTGTTTGGCGCCATCTTGTGTCTGAATAATGTGCAGGTTAGTGTCTGAATAATGGGCAGGTTAGTGTCAGAATAATGTGCAGGTTGGTGTCAGAATAATGTGCAGGTTGGTGTCTGAATAATGCGCAGGTTAGTGTCTGAATAATGCGCAGGTTAGTGTATACTCCATCAGCTGTTTTAGTGTCTGTTGGCTTAATGTTTTTGACTGTTTGGCGCCATCTTGTGGCTCAATAATCCGCAAGTTAATGTATACTCCATTAGCTGTTTTAGTTTCTGTCAGCTTTGCGTTTTTGACTGTTTGGCGCCATCTTGTGGCTCAATAATGCGCAGGTTAGTGTATACTCCATCAGCTGTTTTAGTTTCTGTTGGCTTAATGTTTTTGACTGTTTGGCGCCATCTTGTGGCTCAATAATGCGCAAGTTAATGTATACTCCATCAGCTGTTTTAGTTTCTGTTAGATTTGAATTTAATTAAAAATTATATAAACTACTACATCTCAAAACAATGCTTTGTGTCTAATTTTTATGTTTTGTGGTTTAGCGACAGGCTGCTGATGTCAGACTTTATTCTGCGATAACAACCTCCTGGATGTACTTTATCCCCAACTTAAAATGGTCAATTTTAAACTCACATAGCCCTAAAAAATGTTATACAACATTCTAAATTGCCTGTTACGATCATATTTAACACTGCTCCAGGAATGTGTTCATGGTGTGTGTGTGTGTGTGTTTCTTTACTGCTGCATGTGTGCACTTGAATGGGTTAAATGCAGAGCACAAATTCCGAGTATGGCTCATCATAGTTGGCCACCATGCGACTTTCCTTTCACTTTAAACTTACAACTCAAAACCCTTTATAGACTTATTGTATTCTGCTTTCATAAAATGTCCTTATTGTCAGTAAACTCACAGTTCCATGTCCATTGGCTTCAAAGTAGACTCCAATATCATATTCCTGTGCGGCATGATGAAGGTGCTTCACTCCTGTTTTAGTACAACACACTGCCACCTGTGGAGAATCAACACTTTAAGCATGAACTGCAGTGCAAAACAGCAACAGGAGATTTCTTTTAAAGAGCATCACCTTCATAACGTCCTCCAAATAGCGAGTCGAGCTCCCGTTAGCATACGCTGTCTGAACAACAGCAACCTGTAAGTTCAGCCCTGCCTGAACACACACACACACACACACACACACACACACACACACACACACACACACACACACACACACACACACACACACACACACACACACACACACACACACACACACACACACACACACACACACACACACACACACACACACACACACACACACACACACACACTAAATTAATGCAGAATTCACTTTTGGATATTAGTTTTAATGTGTGTTTGTGTGTGTAGGACCTGTGTGAGCAGCTCTTTGAGGAAAGTGCTGATAAGAGTAGCAATTTTGTCGCCGTCCAGAAGATGGAAGCAGTTTTTGGAGTCGGTGTAATAGTAAACAATGCGATCGGCATCACCATCAAATGAACAGCAGCGTTCACCTACTCCCATACTCACACCTGCAGGAAAAAATATGGCATTAGTAATAATAATAATAATAATAATAATAATAATAATAATAATAATAATGACAAAACTGGTGTGTGTTTTAATATATGTTAAAATTTAATTTTATTCCTTTGATTCAATGCTGACTTTTAAGTTATTATCAAGAGCATCACATGAATTGCCAGAACTACCATAATATATAGATTTTGCTGCTTAAAAGTCTTGTGGAAATTACAATACAATAAATTTTGATTTAAGAAAATTTAATTAAATGAAAAATAAAATTATAAAATTAAATTTTAAAATAAAATTAAAAATTAATTAAATAATAAAATAAAATAACATAAATTAATATAATACAATAAATAAAATATTTCAACAAAATACTAAAATAAACAATGAAGTAAAATAACAAAATAATAAAATAAAAAAATTAAAATTAAATATTAAAATTATATAATGACATTAAATTATAAAATAAATATTTAATTTAAAATTAAATAAAATTAAAAACATTAAATAATACAATTAACTATTAAAATTAAATAATAAAAATTAAAATAATAAAATGAAATTTAAAAATACATAATAATAAAACAAATATAATAACATTTTTATAATATATTTTATAATTTATATAACATATTAAAATATTTAAATAAAAATGTAACATAAAATAAAATAAAATAATAAAATAAAATTGTATTATTATTTCATTATTTTAAATATGTTACAAAAGATTTTTTAAATAAAGTATGGGCATGGTAAATTATGGTATTTTATTTTGATCTTTTTCTATCTAATCATGATTGTTCAAAAAAATTTATTATAGGCATATTTTTTGTGCTCAACTAAAGTTTTGCAACTAAAGATCTGTGTGAAAACTGACAACCCATTCAAATAATGGTGTAAGAAAGAAATAAAAAAATACTTTTGAAAAGTAAAACATTTCAAATAAAAAGTAAAACAGAAATAACTAAATACAAATAGATTTTTAACATTTTATTTAGCAAAAATGCATTAAATTAATCAAAAACACATGATGATGATAATAATAATAATAATAATAATAATAATAATAACAACAATAATAATAATAATAATAATAATAATAATAATAACAATAATAATAATAATAATAATGACTTAACCACAAATATTTTATAAGTGAAAACTAAATTAGCATGAAATAAGCATGAAGTCTAATAAATGCAGAGTTTCTATGGAAAAAATGAAACTTTTAGGAATCATTATTGCTTTTCCTCATGGGAAATTCAACAGATCATGTAAATTTCCCCTTCAGGAATTTCAGACAAACCTTGGGGAGCTTTCTGCTGGACTTTGACATAATCTGCTCCACACAAGTGGTTGAGTTTTCCACTGCTGCCGTCATTAGAAAGCACAACCTGCAGTTCAGAGCGAATGAACGGCTCCAGCTCCTTCATCTTCAATGCACCGATGCCGTTCGCTCCGTCCAGCAGAAGCCTCTTCTGGTCATCTGTGCGATTTGGGACCTTCGGTAAAGAAGTAGAAAACAATAAAAGCACTGAAACAAAGCACCCTGGAGATTACACTGATGTTTGTTAGTCGTGCTTACATTGTGGGTGAGTTGAAGGAAAGCCTGGGAGAGTTTTTGGTAATAACCCTCAAGGGTGGCACTGCCATAGCGGCCCTTTGTGTTGCAGCAGCACACCATATAATGGAGCTGCGGAGTGCTGACCAGACCATAATCTGCATTCAAGAGAAACACACACCCATAATCAACACAGCCATTCAGCAACCTTTGTACTTCTTTAATAAAAAAAGTACACTTCTGCGCAAAGCCTCTTCATGTTAAATCACTTAATGCCTTAGTCTCATTTCTAAGTCACTTAGAAACTTAAAAAATCTAATTCAAAAAATGACTAAAATAATGTAACTAACATTAAATGACGCCTTTAATTTAGAGATAAAACCTAGTGTTGAGTTAGCTATCTTTGGGGTACCAGAACACAATATATTGTTGACAAACAAGGAAAAAAATGTATTCGCCTTCGCTACTTTGTTAGCAAGGAGAAGAATACTACTTGAGTGGAAATCAGCAGCTTCACCTAAAGCTTCAATGTGGATGTGTGATCTGATTTTATATTTGAAATTAGAGAAAAGTAAGTATTTAATGAAGGGATCAGTCCAAAAATTTTATGAGACATGGCAACCTATGATTTTGACATGTTTTGGGAAAAGGAAGACTCTCTCCTTTAACTGATTTATATAAATAAATCTGTGCAAACAGGTTTAACTGTGATCACCAATATGGTTTAGTTTGATATTTATGTAAAAGACCACTATAAATGTAACAGAATATTGATTTGTATTATCATGTACTGTAGGTAATTATTTATTAGAATTTTTTTTTTTAAGTTTATTTATTTATTTTTTATTAATTTACTATTATTATTATTATATATATATTTTTTTTAATTTAATTATTTACTTTTATTAACAATATTTTCTATTATTTTTTCTATTATTTTTCAATATTTGCTATACTTTTATTTATTCCTGTTGTAATTGTATTTTAATTTTATTTGTTTGCTAATTTATTTCGGCGGCAATGTTCGAAAATGGGGGGAAAGTTACAAATTTAAATGTACAAAATGTTTTGTTAAAGCTTGAGAAAATCATCACAAATAAATGTTTAAAAAAATAATTTGTAAATGTAGCAAGATTATTGTTGTGTAAAAAATGCATGTAAAGTTTTGCACTGTATTTCAATGTATACAAACTGAAAATTACAATTAAAATAAATTATAGCAAATAAAATAATGTAACTAACAATAAAAATCAACTACTATTTCTATCTATTATTGATGATTATATATATATATATAATAAAATAATAAATTAATTGTGGCATTTAGTTAGTTGTAGTTATTTTTTGTAGTTACTTGCAGTAGGAAATTCCTGTAGGAATGTAAGGGACTTATAAACACACCATGAGTTTTGCCTCCCAAACTGGAAACACCGTCCAATACAGCCTGAGAAAGAGCTGCACTGCTGGGTCTGAGCAAAACAAAGAGTCGTTCACTAAAATTTACACATACATTATATTTGTTACACAATGAATACATTCACCCAATTTACATTCTAATACAACCAGCGTACATGATAATAATCTGAAGCTTTTTCAAACGGAATAATTTCACTTTGGTGCCATAAACATTCGCCTTCAGATGTGTAAAAAATTGTAAAAAATTTGGGTACAAATTCATTTATTTATATATAAATATATATATATATATATATATATATATATATATATTAAAAAATGGCAGCAATAAAACTTTATAAATCATTTAAAGATAAAGGATTCAGCAATTATGTATACTGTATATACAATATACATTATACATGATAATACAATATACAACATTATGCAACATACAATATAATATATAATTATGTATAATGCATATAAAATAATTTATATTAAAGTATAATTGTATTGTTTTTTAATTACAAGAATTGCATTGATTGATTACAACTTACAATGCTTACTGTTTTTGACTTGATCTACAGGCTCATCCACCATGAAGTCTACAGGTCTGTATGTATTGAGTTGTTCAGCTGCTGTATAAACAGAAGTGAGTCTACCTGGTGTCTCTGCCGATGTAAACGCTGGCCGCTTCACTCATGCTGATGTCCTCTTTCTCTATAATGTCCTTCAGCGCTGCGAGGAGATGGTCCTGCTCTGCGTTGGCCAGCTGTGTGGCGTATTCCTCCCATGCTGCAGCCACCATCTCACCCATCGGGTCGATTAACTTCACTCCATTATCCTCCTGGAAAACACGAGAGCAGCATGTGTGGAGCACGCACTGACAGTCTGATGTCATTTACTTTACATTACATTTACACAAAAATAAAACAAGAACAAAACATATCCAGCAAAAATAATAGTTTAAACACTGAACATCTTTAGAAATAGAAAAATATATTTATATATATAAATAAATAAATATAAATAAATATATAAATATAAATAAATATAAATATAAATAAATATATTTACATATTTTTGTTTCACTTAATTTTTCAGATCTCAATCATAGAAGGAAAAAATAAAAAATAAAATAAATAAATATATATATACACACACACACACACACACACACACACACACACACACACACACACACACACACACACACAAGATCATATATTTTATTTTCTCTTTTGTCAATTTTATTTAATAATTTTTATATAACATATAACATAATTTTCAAATAACGTATACATTTGGGCATAGTAATAATAGGAAGTTATTGTAAGGTCCAGATTTGGCTTCACTACTGCCTAATCTAATGTATATGCACAAATATAATATTGTAAAGCTTCCTATAGAAAATATTAATTTAAAATATAATTTTGTGAGGGGTGTACTCATATATTCAGAAATTGTATACGTAATAAACTACAAAACTATTTCTTAATTAAACTTTAAAGCCATTTGAATATGTTGCATTTACACCTACATCTTTTTTCTCTGCATAATTATTTTTTATTTATTTTGTTTATCTTATTGTTTTTTTTACTAGCATTATTATTTTCATGTTATCTTATGCATGTTTTTGTTTTGTATATATGTGATAGTTTACTTTATGACTTTTGTACTTATTTCTTGTATATTTGTGTTTTCCTGATAGTTTCTTGTGTGGCGAATTCTATCAGTGTGTATCAATATTATTTCTGTTGCATTTATGGTCTTTCTGACCTAAAATATACCTAATAAAGCATTAAAAAAAACAACACACATAAAACATCTCAGTTTGTTTAGTGCTCAAATTCTAACGATAATTATAGAAAGAACTAAAATATTTGAATAAAATAATTTTATTTTAATTTGTTAGTCTAATGCAGTACACAATAATCTATCTATCTATCTATCTATCTATCTATCTATATATATATATATATATATATATATATATATATATATATATATATATATATATATATATATATATATATATATATATATATATATATAATTATTATTATTATACTTTTGATGTAAGAGGTTATTGGAAGCCAGTGTTATAACAGTACATTTGGACATATATGGATGCATTTCCTACCTCAGGGTTATGGGACGCAGTGACCATGACTCCAATGGTAGATTTTGTCTTTTTGGACCTCAGAGTTGCCAAAAGTCCCATGCGGAACATGATGTGGTCCAGATGTTTGGCATTCGTGCGAAATCCAGCAGTGCCATACTGCAGCGTCAGACCCTCCGGCTTCGGGTGCAGCTTCGACTTCTGAGCGACTTCCTCAAACTCAGCCATTTCTGAAGATGAAGACAAAAGCAACTCTGTTTCTTTATGCAACTATCCATTTTTGAGATCTTTGTCTTTTCATGAATGTTCCTAAAATAGTTTATTTTTTATTATGCACTAATAATAAAAATAAATCTGAGCACAAACAAGCACTGAATAACTAGCACTTCTTGTGTATTGACTCTTCTTGTGGAATCGCTGAATGCTTCCTCTACTGCAAACTGCTTTGGACAAAATTATTAAATAAATTACTAAATGTAAATATCTTTATTCAACAGAGAAAAAAAAATGTTTTTGGAATTATTAATGAATAAACAGATTCACAATATCCCCTCTGTAAAAAAAAGAAATAATAATGAACCTGACTTGATATAATTTTTGAGTATGAAGTGTAAGCAAATCAGTGCATGTTTAATTATATAATGCCTCATTTGCATATTTAAACCTTACATAATATAAAAGAAGTTCACTATTCTTATGCATATATTGATAATCATTTAATCAAAAGGTCATTTTAGATAACACAAATACATCAATACTTTTTGCAATAATCTCCTTGATCCAGTTTAGATGTTTACATTTTGAACATTATAAATAAACCATGTACACTAACAGACAGTAAATACAGATATTAGCAGATTTAAATACAATCGGGAGACCTATACATAAAGATGTTAAAATATAAATATTAAAATCAATAACACAAGTTAACCTGAAATGAATGAATGGATCTCCTTGTCACACAACTGTAACGCATTATGCGGGAAAGCATAGTACTACGGAAAGCACACATACGCAACATGATGTCTAAGAGTCATTGTTTTTGTAGTATTAAATATTTTAGTAAGAACACAGTTAATGAAGTTAATACTCACTCTTTACTAAGTGCTGTTTCTGCAAGCGAAGGGTTTGCGCAGCGCTTCCTGCTTCCCTGATTACGTGGCTACAGTGACGCTCGTCGCCACACCTCCTCATCTGACGTGGAAGAGTACAACCAAGATGATTTTATTTGATTTATTTTTATTTTGTTCATAACTATTGTGAGATGTATTATCTTGCACTAAGTTTGTACATATTTACAATGAAAAAAAAAGAACTAAAGATAATTACTCCATACCAAATAACAAATAATTCTTCAATATCAGTTCTGTTCAACCCCCTGATTAAATTACATTACAGATTCCAGTATGTGCCTATAGAGAACGATCACTGCTAATTCTAAGATACTGAGATTTAAAAAAATAATAATAGACAAATATAATTAATATTATATATATTATATATATACATATATAGTTGAAGTCAAAATTATTACCCCCCCCCCCCCGTTTATTTTTCCCCCAATTTCTGTTTAATAGAAGGATTATTTCAACACATTTCTACACATAATAATTTTAATAACTAATTTATTTTATCTTTGACATGATGACATTAAGTAATATTTCACTAGATTTTTTTCAAGGCACTTGAAGTGACATTTAAAGGCTTAACTAGGTTAATTAGGTTAACTAGGCAGGTTAAGGTAATTAGGCAAGTTATTGTATAATGATGGTTTGTTCTGTAGACTATCAGAAAAAATATAGCTTAAAGGGGCTAATACTTTTGAACTTAAAATGGATTTGAAAAAATTAAAAATTGCTTTAATTCTAGCTGAAATAAAACAAATAAGACTTTATCCAGAAGAAAAAATATTAACAGACATACTGTAAAAATTTCCTACCTCTGTTAAACATAATTTGGGAAATATTTAAAAATAATAATTCAAAAGGGGGCTAATAATTCTGACTTCAACTGTATATATGCTTTAAGTAAATATAATAAATTAAACTATCTAATTAATCTACTATTATAACATAAAATAGTATCTAATAAACAAAATTTGGAGATTGGTCAAACACCACTAACATCTTCAATATTTCTATTCTCATTTTAATTGTTTAACTTCAGAAGATTTGTAAATAAGTTCACAGTAAATACACAGGTAATAATTGTATAAATTATAAAGGTTTGTGTGTATATGTGTGTGTGTTGGGGGGTGGATAGGTCATTATCAGGCACATTTATAATAAATTAATTACTATAATATTATTATTTAGTTATATAAAAATTATGTGGGTGACACGATGGCTCAGTGGTTAGCACTGCACAGCAATAAGGTCACTGGTTCGAGTCCTGGCTGGGTCAGTTGGCATTTCTGTGTAGAGTTTTGCGTGGGTTTCCTCTGAGTGCTCTGGTTTCCCCCACAGTCCAAAGAAATGTGCTATAGGTGAATTGGATGAACTAAATTGTCCGTAGTGTATGTGTGTGAATGAGTGTGTATGAGTGTTCCCCAGTACTGGGTTGCAGCTGGAAAAGCATCCACTGCGTAAAACATATGCTGGATAAGTTGGCGGCTCATTCCGCTGTGGTGACCCCTGATGAATAAAGGAACTAAGCCGAAAGAAAATGAATGAATGAAAAATTATATGGAAATTATAATTATGTAACAATTACATATAATTAAAATAGATATTCTCTATCTCTAACTCTATATTAGATTTAAATATTCTATTCATTTTATCGTTTTTATCCTCCTAGCACTGGCTGCCTGTTAAGTTTCGTATTGAATTTAAAATATTGCTTATTACCTATGAAGCTTTAAATAATCTCCTGTTTATCTAACCAAGCTCCTATCTCGCCACAATCCAACACGTTCTTTAAGATCTCAAAACTCGGGGCTTCTGGTAGTATCTATAATAGCAAAGTAAAGTAAAGGAGGTCGAGCCTTCTCATTTATGGCTCCCAAATTCTGGAATGGCCTTCCCGACAATATCCGAGGCTCAGACACACTCTCCCAATTCAAAACTAGATTAAAGACCTATAAACAGCAGCTACGCTAATTATTCTCTTCATTCTCTATTTCCACCTGGCGATACTCATCCCAAGGCTTTCAGACTATGCAGCGCCACAGATTCCAGAGATGATCCCAAGGTTTCCATAATCCTGGACCAGGCCGTATCTTGAGCATCTGCTGTGTTGGTCATGGAGGAGTGGAGAGCATGAGACTGATTCCTGTGATGCTCCAGGGACAGACAAGTCTTCGCTGAGGTCCAGCATTCTCCAGCGCCTAGACTGCAGCTCTGCACAAGACGTTTGAGCAGTGGAGAAATAGTTGTGCCCAACTGAGTTGGTTTCTCTCAAGGTTTTTTATCCGTTACTTTCACCAATTGGTGAAGTTTTTTCCTCGTCGCTGTCGCCACTGGCTTGCATGGTTCGGGATCTGTAGAGCTGCGCATCGATGGATTTGCTCTTCGGTGTTTGGACTCTCAGCAGTGATTATTAAACCACACTGAACTGAGCTAAACTGGACAACTTAAACACTGAAAACTGAACTGACACTGTTTCAGTTTACTATGATCTACTATGCGAAGCTGCTTTGACACAATGTACATTGTAAAAGCGCTATAGAAATAAAGGTGAATTGAACTAAATTATGATTAAATCTGATCGATTCATTTATTTAATTAGATTCACTCCAAGCACACAATCATCCAAAGGACTTTTACTTGAATATTGTCAGCCCTGGATGTGTTTTTGGGGTTCACTTTCAGCTGCGTAAACATGTTCAGAAAAAAAGACGAGGCAGATGTTGCAACTTTGTTTTGATTTCAGCAGGAATGGCTTCTTACATGCCTCTGCAGAGTCATTAAAACAAAACTCATTTCCCTCAACACACACACACACACACACAATGTACAAAAGTAGACGAAAAACACAGCAAGGGGTCTTTTATGGTTTGAAAGAAACTGACAGCCAGATAGAGAGAGAGAGAGAGAAAGTTTGTGGGCCCCTTGCCAATAACTGTTTACTGTTGAGCTTTGGGTTTGACCCCTCACACACACACTCAAACCAACACTATGAAAGAGCTTTCAGTAATCTGCACGGTAGACTTAAAAGCATTAGCGCTCAAATACTCTATGCATTCCCTTTAAGTTGTGCACGTAAAGTTGATGTTGAGAAGAAACGTGAACTCCGCAGCTGCTTCAACAACAAGAGGAGGTCCTCATGGTGGATTCCTGCGTCCCGCTGTGCACACTGGAGCTAAACACATACAGCGCACAATGACACATGGCTTTCCCCCGTCTAAAAGGCTTTAATTGCGTGTGTTGATGAATCTGGAGAAGACTGCTGGCTTTGTTCCTTTCCTGAGCTCTGAACTGGACGGTGCTCTGGTTTCCAGAGCAAAACAAGCAGCATAAAGAGCAGGAGGGGAAAATCATAGTGCCTTCCGATTAAACTGACTGGTGAGTAGAAGAACAAAAAAGATTGATATAGGTTTTATATTTGTACTTTAAGGGATAGTTCACCCAAAAATGAATATTATGTCATTTACTCACACTGCTGTTGTCACAAACCTTGTTTCAGTAATACTTTAAAATGAAGGTCCATCAGTTAATATATTTACTAATATGAGCAAACAATTAGTAAGACATTTATTATAGTATTAATTCATCTTTGTTAACATTAGCATTCATATTAACTAATGCTTAGGCCCACACGGAATCTGCGCGCGAAGAATTACGCAGATTTTCCGCAGATTTCTGCAGATTTTTAGCCCATCATTAATTCTGTTTATTTACTTGAGTAAATGTGTAAATCTAAATTTATTCAGTTTTTATTCAGTAATTTATTACTTTTTATTTCATATATTAAGGTTTTAGTTATGATACACTGAAAATTGTATCATAAAATTATTCAGAGATAATTCCTTGGATTTAATTAATTTTTTTACTTTAAGTGGTTATACACAATTTATTTGTGTTGAATTTAAACAAACAAATTAAGTTGAACATTATTAAACTTAATTTGTTTGTTTAAATTCAACACAAATAAATTGTTTGCAACAGTTCTGCATGCAACACTTTTTTCAGTGTACTCCGCTGGATACTCCCAAAATAATTCAGCAGAAATCCGCAGATTTTTACCAAAATTCTCAGCAGAAACAGCAAAAAACGTCCGCAGATTCCGTCTGGCCCTGTTTATGGTGCATTAACTAATGTTAACAAACACAACTTTGGATTTTAATAACGCATTAGTTAATGTTGAACTATATAATTTATGTCTAGTTAAGGTAAGTAAATGCATCAACAATAACATTAAATAAGAGATTCCAAAGTGTTACCTTTGTTTCTTTTATTGAAGATGTTTTGAAGAAAGCTGAAAGCCATTGACTTCTCCATTTGTTTTTTTCTCTCTCTGTGGAAGTAAATGATTAATGGTTTCCAGCTTTCTTTAAAATATCTTCTTTTAGGTACAGCAGAAACAAGAAACTATTATAATGTTTGAGTAAACTTTGAGTACATTTTTATATTGGGTGAACTGTCCCTTTAAATGCAGGTTTTTATATGCAGTTGAATTGTTTATCATGCAATGCCTCTCAGAGTTTATGATTGGTATAACTAAATATGCAGTCACTTTAAATGATTTATGTCTTGTTCGTTTATGATTTCCTATAGCTATCAATATTCTCAGGACATTTGGCTTATGTTCTGACAAGTTTTACAAACGTTCTTCTAGTTTCATTAACAGAACGTTCACTCAAGCTCTGCAATATTTTTTAATATAACACTTTAGCATATGTCTTAGCATTTTTTTTAATCTTTTTTATTCTTAAACATTTCAGTTTGATGTTTATATTTTGTTCAGAACACATTCGAAAGTAAAAATCCTTTAAAATCTTCATGGAATGTTGTCAATAAAAGTCTATGTAAGAATTTTTATCATGTATTTACTGCTTTTTTATTGCCAATGCATAAAAAGCCTCTAATAAAACAAAAGAAAACAAAACAAGCCCCTGTAAGACTAAAAGACTGCACCGATTTTAATGTGAAAGAAGTTTTAAAGCTTCTTTTCCATAAACAAATGCATATAATGTTCAGGATAATGCTGTTTTTTTCATGCTGAAAAAAAACCCTCATAACATTTGTAACAGATTTAATGCTTATG